TACAAATAATAGAAACTCTGTGTGTGAGTGTGTGTGTATAATGCAAAAACATGCAAACTAAGAAAGAAATTTTAAGAATACATACATAAGGAGTAAAGATATACAAAGGAGAAAATCAAAACTCATTTTAGGATAATCTTTACATCTGGCATTTCCTGCGAATGGAGGGGCGTGTGATTAAGGAAAGATAACACTAAGCATTTCACTGATGTTGGAAATAATAGCTCTCTCTTCAGCTGGAGGGTGGGTAAAATTATTTACACAGTTTATTTTTTTTACGTAGAGGCAATCTCCGTGTTACGAACGAGATTCGTTCCTAACTCTGTCTTTAATTCAAATATGTAGGTAAGTCAGAACAGTTCGTCAAATGTTTGTCTTTGCATATGGTATATATTTTACATTGCTATGCATATAAACACTTAAGAAACACTTTCAAACCACCAATGTTTTCTCAAGTGTCACAAAGTAGTAAGTGTATTTATTATTACAAACCATTGTATTCAACTCAGATTTTTAATATAATAGACTTTATGGCAGTCTGCTCTTAAGTACAAGTTGTCTGTAAGTTGAATGTTTCTAACCCGGGGACTGTCTGTATAAGCGTTTTATATTTTTAAAAAAGGAAGATTAGGAGCAGAAGAATGTGTTAGAAGAAGCTATGGATGGGAGAGGGAGAAAAAAGCCCCAAAAATTCAAATGGTGGAGACTAGTGGAACAAATCTGTCTTGGAAGAAGTATGACCAGAATACTCCTTAGAAGCAGGGATGGCGAAACTTGTCTCATGTACTTTGGACATGTTATCAGGAGGGACCAGTCCCTGGAGAAGGATATCATAGTTGGTAAAGTAGAGGGTCAGCAAAAAAGAAGAAGACCCTCAACAAGATGGATTGACATAGTGGCTGCAAAAATGGACTCAAGTGTAACAACAATTGTGAAGATGGCGCAGGACCCGGTGTGCTTCGTTGTGTTGTACACGGGGTCGCTATGAGTTGGAAGCGACTCGATGGCACCTAACAATATTACAACAGTGGAATTTATGTCAGTTGAGCAGCGAACGTTTTTTGAGCAATTACTATGTACAAGGCAGTGGTCGAGGGACTGAGGGTGGTGAGGGTGGCCAGTGGGGAGGTACAGGGATGAATGTAACATTTCTTGAACTTTAGGGTTCAAATAGCTACATCGTTTGCAGGAGGAAAACAAAACAGAACAACAACAACAAAAAGTGGTTTTTGGCGGAGTCTTTGGGGAAACATAACTTCCAAAGGCTCAAGGGCCCTTGTTTCAAGGAGAAGCCTGTGGCCCTGGCGTTCCCTTTCCTCAGTCGGCCTTTTCGCCCCAGCCCCTGTATCCCCACAGTGTACTTTCTAGGTGTAGGTTTTTAATGACACGTGTAGCAGGAAATACAATAAGGTTCAGTGCTTATTTATATTTCATGACAGCAGCTTCTTTTTTTCACTCTTGGTTTTGTTTTTTGGGCCCACGGTAATTCTCAACCAGGAATTGCTAACACAGAACTTGCTTGACTGTGCTGTATCTTATTTTTGTCTTTCCTGTGGGAATTACTAACCTTTTAATAATACTCTTCTTCAAGACCTTGAAGATAGTTATAGACACATAAAATTAAAACTTTAAATTACGAGGCAGAAAAGACTCATCAGGGTATGATTCAGGAAACACAGCAGAGGTAAGCAGACGTATCCATTCTGACCTCAGCCTTGTTTTCTTTAAATCAGCACTGAATGGTACCAAGAGGACCCGTGGAAATATATTGTTTGAGCCCCTTTAGAGATTTTTATTAAAGACCGTTTTCCAGTTGAGGTACTTAATGGTTAACAATGGGAAAAAATGCAAAGACAAGTTGAGTTAATGTAGCCTCTATACTTGTGAGCAAAAGATGCCTTTAGCTACTAAATATGATAGTTTGCAAAAAATGTAAAAGTGTTCCAAAACAGGCAGTGAAGTCATCTCTGAGGAGAACAACAAATTTGTGTTTTTCTCGTTATTTTGTTTGCTTTTGATGAACAGATACTGAATCTTAAAGGACTTGAGAAAATATCTGGATATTTTTGAGCACTTTAATCACTTTATGGACTGTATTGTTGTGCTTACATCTTTCTCTCCTTTCTCTCAGTTCTCTTTATCTGTTCTATCTCTGATTTGTCTTTGCTTAATTTTGAAGCTGCAGATGTAAACTTCGTAAAGAATGATTTAGTCTTGATCTTTTAATAAGCAAGTTGGTGTTTGTGATGACTGAGAAAATATAGTACTGTCTGGATAATCCCAACTCCGCTGGTCTACTTGCTAAGGAGTCAGAGCTCCTTACCCAGAGTCATCCAGGCATAGCACTTTCCTGCAGCACTGGAAGCATCAGAGATTAAGATAAGCTTGACCACAGTACTCCTGCTCCTCTGAGCAGCTGGATCCTCACTTGACCTAGCCGAGAGAGTATGCGATGCTCAGAACCTGAAAAACACAATGACACAAGACAAAGGGTGTTAGGACGGAATTAATTCCATTTCGTACAGTCTAATAGATTAACTTCAAACATAAATTATTCCAACAATTGAATATATATATGTCTGATTGCAGATGAGGAAAGCAATATGCTAAAATACAATATATTCAGAATTATTTTTGGATTTAAAATATCTGTTTACTATCCATACACTGCATATTGATTGCAATTTTACAGTCTGTAATTATCCTAACTTGTTGAGTAAAGTTGGTTGCTTCTGCATGTTTAGATGCAGCTCTTCTATTCCCGGGTGCGTGGACATTTTCTTATTTGCTTATGTCTTTGCTTGCTTGTATTTGATGAATTGAAATATCAACTCACTTCACCATATCCTGCTACTCTGTCTATACTTCTGATAGTTTACATAGCAAGCAATATGACATTTTAATGTTAATAAAGTATCTTCTGTTTAATGACACAAGTATGCTAAGGAAAGTCTGCTGATGTGTGCATGTATCTATATCATAATGATCTAACGCACTCCGATGCCATCAAAGTCAGCAGATATATTTTGTGAATTAATTCACTCAGCCATTAAGTAAACTGAAGGGAGCAATGTAGTGTACATGTTAAGGTTTCGTGTATATAATATCTTTCAGGCAGTTCAGACATAATTTATGTCTGAGTGTTGGAAGGTAGATTTAAACACAGATACCTGGAAATCCGGAAAAAGTCACTATTTGTAACACAATGGCATAGCTTTTTGCACACCGCCTCATTGCTTTACTATGGTTCAAAGTTTAGAAAGCAGGATATTGGAAGGTTAGAAAATGATTGGGAAAAAAAAACAAAAAACACTCAAATGAATACAGGCTTTTGAAATAATGTTTGCAAGATCAAATGTAATGTCTATGACCAAGGACAGTAGGTCTTCCAGGGTTTCCCCATTGTTGTGTGCCCTTGAGTCAGTTTTAATGTCATTAACTTCCATAAAAAATGGTCTTTGTTTAAAACAAACAGTTGTTTTAAGTACAGTTCACGTGGTGACAGCCCATAAGATTAACACCAGTTTACCTTACTTAGCATAGGCCTGGTCAGAGGTTTTCAAAATTTTTTATGTGGGATGAAATCATAGACTTGTAATTTCAGAATATAAGAAATACACTGCTTCTTTTCAGAGAAATTGTCCTATTCATTATTAGAGTTTGGAATTATTTCTATTCATTATAAGAGTTTGGAATTATTTTTTTCCCTCTTGCTTATTGCTTCTCAGATGCTATGTGGATGGTGAGGTGCAACTTCCCAAAGCACCTGGGCTAGGACTGGGGACAGGGCTGGAGTGGAACTGGGACCGAGGAAAGAGGAAAAGTTTAACCTTAGTATCCAGTTACCTGCTGAACATCCAGCTACCAAGTGCCTAGTACAAATCAGACACGATTCTAAATTAGGGGATATTTTGGGATACAAAGATGATCTCAACTTTGGAATTCCTGGGAGTCATCCATCTAAAAAATAATCATGGTACACAAAGATAAATAAAAAGAAATATGCCCAGAGTGTGATGTGCCTGGGTCCCTGACTGGGCTAGGTTGTACATGGTGTAGGGTTCGGTGTAGTTAGTAGAGGAGCGATATACCAAATCTCAACAGGGAGGAAGATATTATTAGATCCATATGCTCAATGTATTTCACTAAAAGAAATAAACTGGTGTTATGGAAATATCAATCCTTTACCCTCATCCACCATCCTAATTTTTTTTTTTTTCTCAATTGATATTCATCTTCAAGGCCCAGTGAGATCTTGCCAAGGTCCACCTAACTCTCCAATTTCTTATGTTTTCTAAATTTGAAAATTGGCTCTGTGGTTTATGGATGGGATAATAAACAAAAAAGGGTCAGTAAATAGGAAAGTGATTCACAATTACATTTACTGAAGACTGTATTTCAAGGAATTAAGAAATTCATCAGTTGGAAGATACATTAAGGAACACTAAAAATAAGACAATTATATTTGCAAGATTGACCGTAAAGTGGATTCTGTTTCAGAGCTATTAAAAGGTAAGAGAATATCAATATTAGAATCGATGAGTAAGGAATGGTTTGCAACTGAACTGTGCTTTACAAATGCCTTAAGGTGTAGCATGCATGGGTACAATTATCTGCATTTCAGAGACAACCAGGAGCATCATTCAGTCCACAAATATTTATCAAGCATCCAGCAGGTGTCAGGCATGCTGCCGAGTCTGTGGGCTGCCAAAGAGAACAAAACAAACAGTTATTAACTGGCTAAAAGCAGTCCTTTTTAAGACCAAGCCAGACATTCAGAGGTCAGACATGTTCCTAGCAACCCCAGTCCAGCAATCCACTGCCGAATCAGACCACCTCCTGAAGAGAGTAACTTAATTTAAAAAGTCCTAATTCAGATGCAAAACACACTACAGAAAAAAATGACGTAAATAATATAGGCGCCTCTCTTTTTTAAAAAATACTTGTGATAAGGTTTCCTGTGAACCAGCTTTACTTTCCAATCTTTCCTCTGGCCGCAGGAGCTGACGCCGTGGAAGCTCAGTGTAAGAGGTTTGAAGTGAGAGGCAGTGAAGACGGCAGGGTGCTGTTTTCTGCAGATGAAGATGAGATCACCATTGGCGCTGAAAAGCTGAAGGTTACAGGTACTGTAGACGGAGGTCTCGGAGCACTGTTGACGTCTTTAAAGAATACGCAACTGCGCACCTGCGCAAGAAGCTACTTTGTCACGTGTCTGATTCCGTGCGTAAAATTGAGTGTCGCATAATATCCTGATATCACATCATTTGATTTTTAAATTGTTGTAAATGGCAGGCACTGGTTGTGGTTGCGGAAGAGACTGGAAATATTAGTAGCCTTAATGATGTAAAAGGAAAGCTGTTTCTCTCAGGCGGAAGTGGGTGGAGGGGTGCGGGAGTGGGTGGTGGGAAAAGGCGAAGTGCAGATGCTGATGAAAGGGGATGGAAAGCTGAAGAAAGCTGATGGAAAAATAAGTGGCAAAGTTATTTTTGCAACTTGAGGTGTATCGTTTAAAGTCGAGGTGCATTATTTAAAGTCAAAAGATAAGTAAACAACTAAAATGCGAACATCAACTTTAGGACAAAGTGGGCAAGAAGGGTTGTACTGCCAGTAAGATAAATTCTCATGCTTTAGGGCTTATAATTATCATCTACAGTTTATCAATCAAGAAATAGTGCTATACACTTATTATTTAGAAGTCCTTTAAGTCATTATTCAAATATTATAGTCATTAAAACTAACACCAGTTGAAATAAAAAAAAAAAATAGAAGTGGGAATGGGGAAGATTATTTTAAACGCAATCTCTTCTGAATTACCTGATCTAAGTGGCATCTGTGCTAACTTCTCCCTCTTCTTCTGTATCTGTCTCTCTGTGTGTATGTGTGTGTGAGTGTGTAAATGGATAAACACATATCACTCACTGTGGCTCTTTCGATTTATGTCTCAGCCTCACACCTATACATATAACCTTGCGTTTATTGTTCATAATGCTCTTGGATGATCTATTGTATATTTTCCAGTTATCTCAGATACTCCCCATTCATAGTCTTACAATAGAGGGCTGTACCATATGCTTTCAGAAGATCCTAAATAGTAAACTAATGTAATTTGAGGTCATAATTGCAGAATTTAAACAGATTTTTGTGAAGGGTTTGAAGTGAAACACTTGGATTGTAAGAAACACCACAGATCGGTGCGCATGCCTATAGCAAACAATCCTGATTCTTCACTTGATGTTTATCTGCAAGAGGCTCCATGTTGTTAATAAAAAATGCTAATTAGAAAGTATTTTCATTTGATTAAACCCTACCCCTATATGCAGTCACAGTTCAGTTGCTCACAGAAGAGCCCATGTACACACAAACACAAGCACACATACCCACATACAGGCACACAAGTACCCAAAGAGGCACAGGCACACATACACACCCACTCACATTCCTACTGGAGCCTTAGTCTCTGTTTACCACAATATCACGTTAACTTCATAGTCGCTTTATTTATTCCTGTCCTACTTCTGAAATAAAGGAAAATAAATATATCAAAGGCGAGTATAATTTAGAATTTCACAAGCTTGAAGGAGAAACTTGCGCATAGCATAGCATGCAATTTCAGGGCATTGAGATTGATTAGTCACCGCACGTGTACTTGAAAGTAGGCTTGAATCATTTGACAAATGTCATTACAAAGAGGCACCGACTCCAGGACGAATCAGGTAAATGAGGTGCGGCATCGACTACACTTGACAGTTACATGTGACAAGAGATCAGCGTGAGGTTTAGTCTGGAATTCTAAATCCGAAATATGAAAACTTCCTTTTACGAACGATCCGCAGGAATTAAAATGAATCCTTTCCGGCTTTATACTCATGAGCAGTGACATTTGGTAAATGGACTTCTGTTTCAGGGTGCCAGAAGGGGGTGAATTTATTTAGTCAATGGGTGTGTCTGTACACCTGAGGTAAAATCATTGATGACTAAAATTTTCGTAGATCTGGTGTATCTAAGCATATTTAGTTAACAAGTAGCAGGATCTGCCTGGCGCGTTCAAATATTACTAGGGTGCAGGAGGGTAGCTGTAAAATGGCAAACGCTTACCTGAATTTCAACATTCCTCGCCACATTATCGCCAGCCTCACCACTCGCTGGATTGTGTGTGAAAATACCTCAACTGCTGACTGTTAATAAATTCCAACAACATAGCTTTTGAATTTCTGTTTTGTAGGAAACTGCAGAAGACAACAACTTTCAATTTTTTTTTTTTAATCCACAGGAAAAAAGTAGGTTAAAATGTCCTTGTCTGATAAAGAAAATGCAATAAAACATTTCAATCAACTTTAGGCATTAGGAAACTAAGTTAATGCAGAATAAGAGCAAATGAATAATTAAATAACTCTAGCTGGAGTTTTAAATTGCTGTTTATTACAATTCTTTCCAACTTGGGGCCCCGGTAGCGCAGTGGTCAAGAGTTCGGGCGCTAACTAAGAGGTAGGCAGTTCAAATCCACCAGCCACTCCTTAGAAACCCTATGGGGCAGTTCTGCTCTGTCCTGTAGGGTCCCTATGAGTAGGAATCAACTCGGCAACAGGTTTGGTTTGGTTTTTTTCCAACTTAAAGCTAGTGGAGAAGGTAAAAGAAAATGTTGTAATAATTACATTTTTATTTGAAAATATTACAACCATATTTTAATACATACGGATATACACACAGAAATGTGCATACTGTGAATAAACGATCATGAATATTTTGAAAAAATAAAAAATCATTCAAGTTTTCTATGTTTTATGCCTCTGTGAGCCTCTGTACATGCACTCACACACACACACACAAACACAGACACACACAGACACACAGACATACACATATACAGAGTGAGCTCTCCATAGATTGACTTAACATGATTGAATAAAAATTACAAGGAGCCCTGGTGGCACAAAAGCTTAAGTGTTTGGGTGCTAACTGAAAAGTTAGCGGTTTGAGCCCGCCCAGGGGCCCTGCAGGAGAAAGACCTGGCGATTTGCTTCTGTAAGATTACAACCAAGAAAACCCTGTGAGTTAGTTCTACTCCATCACATGGGGTTGCCATGAGTCGATAAAATGACGCAACAGCACCCACCACCAACAGCAACAATAAGAATTGCAGTATGAACTCCAGATTCCAGGCTCATCTATCAGGCAGTATTACACAATTCATCACCAGGTCAAAGGAAACTGGTTAAAAATAAAAAATCTCTAAACCAGTCATTGGCTGTTGGTGGTGTTCTTGGCTGTTGAGTCAGCTTCGACTCCTGGGGGCCTTATGTAGAACAGAGCAAAACGCTACCCAGTCCTGTGGCATCTGCTTGCTCTTTGATGTCTTGAGTCCATTGTGAAAGTGGTAACACAGGTACGTCTCAAGTTTCAGTTCCCATGTAACTATCTTTCTTTAGGAGAAAGCCCGCTGAGAATGAGGAAAGGAAACTGTAAGGGACACAGAGGAACCGATAGGCTACTTTTCATCTAGTACTCTACATACATACATTGCTCATGGAGTTCAAGCATTATAAGATACTGCTATAAAAGGAAGCAGAAGAAGATATCACTGCGGACATATTTCTGTAGGTATGTGGAGATCAAAACGAAGTACGTGACAGTGAAAAAAGTTAAAACAATATTTGAGTCAGTAAATTCTCATCATCTTGGGTTGTGGGATATGAGAGTCGTGGGAATGACATGACAAAGACGCAATCAGCAAAACCTTGATGAACGATCATGTGCTTCGAATTTGTACTTTACTCTTTAGATCACTTTACTTGGATAGTTCAGAAATAGTTTGCTTACATCGGAAAGGGAATACAGTTTGTGACCTTAGCATACCCTTTCTGCATCGCTGAGTGTATAGGAGTTTTGCACTTTTGCTTACGTATGCGTACCTTAAAACTTTATTCTCATCGCGTTCCCTAGAATTGGCCAATGTTACTTGATGCAATTATCTTCTGAGATCTGGTAAACAAATAAAAGGTATAAACCTTTACGTGGAGAAGTCTCGTAAAGTTAGTGCTTTCAGGCAGAATCAATCAACTGCAATTTGCACTTTTATTTGTATTCCAAGTAGTAAATTAACTTAGAAAAGAAAGTGCACGTATAAGTCATCGGACTTTTTAAAGAGAAGGACTTTAATACTATGGAACACCTTCATATTAAATGAAAGGCTATTAGTTGGACTTAGACCTTTCACTTTGTCTGTGAAAGGAAAAGGGAATATAGCTAACTGTATTAGGGAGACAGGATATCTCTTTTTTTCCAGACAGAAGCAATGAGAAACTGGCAAACCTGAAAGAACAGTGAAAGCCAACCCAGCATTCAGCCTACGCCCTTGTATTTGTTTGAAAGGCAAGAGCGGCACCCCTTTGTCCCTGTTCTAATTGAATGATTGGAAGGATAGACAAGTTCCAGTGCTTGTCTGGCAACAGAAGAAAGGCTTTTCTGAAGGTTGCCTTTTAAATTGAACACCATGCTTCTGGGTTAAAAATCAATAGTTTCTGTTTTGTTTTTATGAGTTAGTCCACTGCATCCTTGTTCTTGTCTGTTAAATTGGCATGCTGTGATGGGGTCATCTCCGGAATGAATGCTTCTGTTAGGTAGACCCATAGTTCCTCCAGGCTGTCCAAATGCCGAGAAAGTGGTAGCACAGGCCTAGGATGGAGCTGCTTTGTCTGAATAGCACCTGACGAGGCATGACTGGGTCAGGTGCTGACAAATGTGATGTGCGATCCCTTAATTTCCCTTGGTGTGGCATTTTCAAGTCTGTAGACTTGGATAAATCACTCGACTCAGGGTGGTTTCTGGTTGCTTTTTAAATTCCTTACAGATAAAGATTTCAAAGAGTCACTAACAATTAGTACCTCTCCACCTTCCTCCAAACATCGCCAGGTAAAAACCACTGTCAGGTTTTGAAGTATATCGATAATGAGCCATGCCACTTCAGAAAGAAAGCCATTTCCTCTGAGGATCTTACTGGCAGTCCTCTCGATGACTGATTTTTTCAAAAACTCATTCAAACGTTTCCTACTTTTATTTTGTTAAAACAAAACTTCTCGAAAATATAGCTGTATAATAGAAATGTGTCGTAAAAGAGAACATCTGC